GGTTGTCATTCGTGACCTGTTATATCCTAATCTTTATCTCAAGTCGAGGTCTACAGCGGTGCGACCCAGACCTCTCTATCTAGACCTAGACCTACACCAACCCGCGCCTTCCGAGGGGTCGTAGACACTTCCCCCTGGGCGCTACCATAGGGACACCCCGAATCTCGAGGGACGACCCGGATACAGGAGGGGTCGCGGATATACACGGTTTCCCCCCCCCTGTATCACATCGTGCAGATTCTATGGGTGGCTAAGCCACCCTTCTACATCAATGCGACAACCCTCCCCCTCTTGCCTCAGATGACACCCTACCTAGAAGCCCTTCCCCAGACTCACGCCCCAGTCGACCCCTCAGTGGGAATTCAGACAGACACCAACCTGGATGAAGCCCAGCCCACAAGCATCGTGATATCAACCGGAAGCCCACCTGACTAATTTCAACGTCTGCTATAACCATACTTGCAGCACATCTCGTGCGCACATCAGCACTGACTAATTTCAGCGTCTGCTATAACCATACTTGCAGCACATCTCGTGCGCACATCAGCACGCATGCGGCGCATGTCGGCACACAACCAAAAATAGGGACAAAGGAGAAACGAGGGAGAGGTGGGATGTTAGCACACACCACCCTGCCCTGCATAAAATGCAAGTTGACGAAGGAGAAAGAAATTGGGTTGGCACTCAGCAGCGTCTCCAAAAAATATGTGTGTGTGTGTTCTACGGGTGCTGCATCACATTGATTCAATTTGATTGTATACAAATGATCTTTCGCACATGATACATTCATTTATGAGTGTGGCGTGTGTTGTTGCATTGAGTAGATCTGACAGTCCCGTTTTACTTTGCGCGTCGTCTTTTGTTTTTTGCTAATAATAGCAGATTTTTCACAAATCGAGCCGCCTTTACCTCTCTATTCCGGTATCTGTATGTATGCAAGCTATCTTTCTGGTCCGTTATCACGTCCACAGATGAGTCCAAGACGTCCTAGTGTGAGTGTGCCCTGAGGGTGCTTTGTGCTCTGGATGCATCTGACTGCAATCACGTCCACAAGATTCCAAGACGTCCGAGTGTGAGTGTGCCCTGAGGGTGCTTTGTGCTCTGGACACCTGCAATTTCTCACGGTACTACTGACGTTGGTATTGCTGGGCGTTCAATTTTGTTTCACCATCGGGGTATGTGACACACCCTGATCATGACTATACTTTCGCAAAGGGAGAGACCCGTGGCCGCCACTTCAGGAATTGCAGAGCTCTTGAAGCAGCTGTTATCCTTCTCTTTGGAATCTTTTGGAATCACTTCAACCTATGAGCCTGACCTTTCAGGAGTCATGATGAGGGTTTCGACTGTTCTTTCTTCTTCTTTTTTTCGTTTTTGAAATCCGTGAGTTCTTCGTCTCTTTGGCAGTGCCTTTCTTGTTCTCTCTCTGGCTCTCTCCCACACATGCACACACTCACATAGCAAAAAAAGGGAAAAAAACACCTTGAACTTGTGTATGCATACAAGGTGCATTTCCATGCAGCGTTGCACATTGCACCTGCGCGCGCGGTGCGAGGGCATCAGCGATCCGCACACTGTGTGGGCCACCACACCGCACCACACACGTGAGCCGCAAATATGGCTATAACTAATGTTCCTGTCTTCTTCTTCATCTCAGCCTGAAGAGTGATTAGTTTCTTGCCAACACCTTTAAGGGAACCAGTCCTGGAGACTCTAGAACAAGTGATCTTTGAGCCACTATCTGAGCAGGTGGTTGAGGCAACCTCTGCGTCAGAGGCCAGCGAGTGCCTCCTCCGGCTGCACACTGCTACTCGCACTCGCGGCCCAGTAGAAGCCGTCGAAACTGATATGTGCTATTCTCTTTTGGCGGCTGTTATATCTGCCGCTGCTGCTGCCACTGGGGGCCGTAGGGAATGGTGCGACCCTTCTTGCCGAACTTCAAGCGCTAGCGAAAGTCCCTGCGCTATTGCCATTGCGACTCTAACAAGTTCATGTGCTTCCAGAGCTCTCCTTGCTCCATCCCTGGGTTGTGGTGGATACCTTCTTGGGTCACGAGGTGGAAATTCCACCTCCTTGCTGTGGGGAAATTGCCAGCCACACCTTCGCTGGTAGATGCCGACTTCTGCCGCTCCTGTTCTGTGGTGAGAATCTCCTTCCACCACCTCATTGGGGCACAAGTGGTTAACCGGGACCCCCCCTTTTGGGCCGCAAGAGCTGTGTAGCTCCCTCCCAGATACGCGCAATTGCAATCCATCTCTCTCTCTCTCTCTTCATAGGGCACTGACTCGACCTCTCCACCTGTCTAAGATGACAAATATGTGGCCTTTCATTGCTACGTTCTTAATGATCTTCTTATCCTCCCACATCCCTTCTTTCTCCAGCTTACAATAGATGGAAGGTCAACCTGCGCTGGTGGGTCATCCCTTGCTCCTGGAGGTTTGGAGCTAAGTTGTTCCTCATTGCCTGGACCATGGCCTGGGCTAACTGTCACAAGGCTTGGTCATCGATCACTCCATGCCCTAGTTACTGCAGTCAAAGTAATTCATTGTCCTAGTGAGTGCATCAACTCTACATAAGGGGGGACGATGGATGCTCATGATTTTCTCCTGCTTTCATCCCCTTACTCTTGTCCCTACATCAATCAAGTGTCCTTCAAGAAACTCGCCCAAGGGCAGCGTTTCATAATACTTGTCGGTGCGGGACTCGTATCCAACAGCGTGCACCGGACTCATCACCCAGGCCTTCGCATCACGCTTCGGACTCATTGTAGCTATCACCACGTGATCCTCTGTTAGGTGCGCGCTGAACAATCATAATGGTTCTGATTTCTGCTACCCATCTGACGATATCCTCTTCCTCTTTGCCAAAGTAGGAGTCAGGTAGCGTCATTGGAACGCGGTCCCTGTAGCATGGCCAGTCTTGGGGTCTTTACCCATCTTCTCCCCTCGGGTGCTTTCTATCTCCATTTCCATTGCTGTTGAAATTACCTTCACCTCAACTGTCACCCTCTCCATCTCCACTCCTAAACTTATACTGTTCTTCCCCAACAGTTCGAAGGATGGAGTTCTTCATGCTCCCGGCAGGTTGGTTTATCTCATTCTCTAGCCCTTGGCCTATTGCTTGGAGGGTGCCATTCGCCTTTTCTTGATATGCCGCCTGCACTTTCTTGAGATCTGCAATCAGGGCCAGTGCCTCCTCTGGACTGCTATCAGTGTCCACTGTTACAACGACAACTATCATTGGGTCAGGAGTTTCTTTAGCGGTTAGCTGAGTCTTTACATTGGAAGATGCGAATTTTTGGTTTGTGAGAACTTTTGTTTTCTGGTCTAACTTTGTCTCTGCCCCCTCCAGCTTCTCCATCTACTCCAGCAACTTTTATTTTCTGTTCGCCATTGCCTGTTTCTCTCGAGCTACCTTGGCCATGCATTCGTCTAGTGGCATTAGGGGTCCGGTTTGCGTCTGTCGTGTTTCTGTGGGGGCCGAGCTAGTGAATATAGCATCCTCCTTACGGGGCAGTGCAAGACCCGGTGCGTTGTGGTCAGATAACCTCCTGTATCAGACTGTGACTCTCATGCATTGCTGAATTCCACCAGCTCAACCTTCTGTATCAGACTGTGACTCTCATGCATTGCTGAATTCCACCAGCTCAACCTCCTGTATCAGACTGTGACTCTCATGCATTGCTGAATTCCACCAGCTCGAAGTTCATTTCACATGGCAACAGTGTGTAATGGAGTGACAGACTTTCTTTTGCTTTTCCTTCAAAGTCGGACGCCCATGACACATTCCGGGTTTCCTGGACGTATCTGACTGCAATTAGGACCAGATATGACCACAATTAGGCCCGGAGCTCAATTGAGTAGTCCTTGTGTCAGCATGCATTGAGTTATGAGTTATGTGCATGGAAAATGAGCAATGCGAATGACGGGAGCCAAATTGCATCATTCCATAGAAATCCAGATAACCATGTGCACAAACTGAAAGCAGATTGCACCACGAAATACACCAAATAAGGAAGAGCAGAACACCGAAGTCGATTGACAATGAATGCCCTCTTCTCGCCGCCAACATCAATGTGCACAGTGTCGCTCTCCCAAATGGTGCTCCGCTCCCAGATTACCATCAGAGAGCACCTATCAACCTTAGACTCTAAAATGACAACAACAGGTCTTCATCATGAAGTTCAGCAGCCCGAGGGCGAATGAAGACTCCGCCTGTAGCGGCCCACTCAACATGCATCACTCATCCCTCATCTTCCCCACACTGTCCCTCCCCCAAGGACCTCCGCTCAACCTCCCAGGCTATGGCACCAGCAGCCCGGCTATGGCTGCTGCGCTCAGGCTGCACCCACACAGTTTCTTCCCCGGGCCACGCCAGCACCCTTCCGCACTGTGCCCGACTTTCGTGCAGCAAGCCAGTACTCCAGCAGTGCTGCCGCCATCCAGCCAGCCAGAATGTTGAGAAATGAGTGCCCTCACTTCCTTTTGTGCATTGGTTGTCTGGGTGAGGCAGGCTCTGGACGCTCAGCATCTGTCCCAATAGCGCATCCAGGGCCCTTCCAGAATGTGCCTGGGGCTCAACTGTAAGTACGGTGGGCCTCAGCATCTTTGCTGGGCGCAGCAGCTTCAACCGATCGGGCCTACCGGCCGGTTGGACATGCTGCGTGCAGCAACCAACCCACGAGGCCCTTTACATGCTGCGCGCAGCAACCAACCCACAAGGCCCTTTCTGCTCGCATCCCCTCAAAATAGGTCTATCGAATTTTTCAGTCCCGCCTTCACTTACGGCGGTCGCAGACAGTTTCCAGCGGGCGCAGACAGTTTCCAGCGGGCGCAGGCCCTTTCCGACCTTGGCCGAGGGCCTCATGCCTTGCATATGAGTGACAGAAGGTGCACTTCACTGAGTTTAGAAGCAACCAATTATGAAGGAAGATGAGGTATGAATTACTGCTTCTTGGTGGTTGGAATGATGCTGACGAGTTATCATGGTCTCTCTTGCAGAGAGGGAAGCGGTACGTACCCTGGAGGCTTGAGCCCGTGTGAAGAAGATATCGCTAGGGAACTGGAGAAGATACAAGGGAGGGTGATTGCGGTGGATTGCATGCATGGCCAAGTGTTACATGGTGCTTGCTGACCTCGGTGGCGTTTGCAAGCATGGTGTGGTCTGGTCTGAAAAGGTTGTCGAATAGGAATCCGAAGAAGTGGCTGTGCCACCAGGAAAATCTTACAAGCGATGGAAATGATTGTCCAGGATCAGGTGCTGTAGAGAAGAGGGAGGAGGAGCACTGTATCGGCAGGATTTGGTGAACATGAAGCTGAAATTGAACTTTGAAGCTGCGCTCGCAGACAACGGCCCTACACCCGCCTAACCTTCTTGTTTGTGAAAGCCAAGGTAAGTGCCCGAATCAAGGAACTGTGGCATTCTGTGTGTGTGAATAAGGCTCCGTGGTTGTATGCTGTTTGCACATGCATGTGGTCTGCCTGCAGGACACATGCCCATATTTAGAAATTTGATCTAGGAATCGCCTTAACCACTGCACGGGTGACTGTAATTGTGCTTATCTGTGAGCGTGGTGCAATCGTAGAGGCCAAGTTCATGCGACCATCTTCCCCCAAATGTATTAGCTGCCTGTGTTGCGCCAAGGTGTTCTCCAAAATGATCTCCTCTGGTTTCCTGAAACACCAGGACCATTGTACTCGTTTTGTTTGAAATTTGAACCTGTAAAATCGAAACAATACAGAGAAGTTTAGCATGGCCCCTACGCAACGCCTAGCGCCACGACAGTAATGACGAGTAAGGGTGGGAGGGAGTCTCATAGGTGGGCTGTATAGAAAATCATCTGGATGATCAAATGGCCAACTGCTGAAGGGACTGTCATATATGCCTGGTGGCTAGCCTCTACAACAACCTGGGCTTTTACATGAAAAGAAAAGAAGATTAAAAAAATAAAACCTTTAAAAAAAAGACCCAAAAAAAGAAAAGATGACACGCCTAAATCAAAAAATGGTCCAAAGGAGTTATTCTCAAGATCACGTACAACTCAGAGAGAGATAAATGTCTAGATTTTATAGTTAGCAGATGAAAAAAGTTTCTGATGAATACACTAGTTATTGAATGTTATTCTCAAGCTGCAACATTCACAAAATCGCTCTAGGAAGAACTTTCTCTCACTGTGTACCTGAATAAACGACCACATTTTTCTTGAATCGTGCCCAACGCCTTCATCGTCCATTGTACACTAAACAACCATCATCCTACCTGGTTTCCAGCAGGTGCCACTCCCCGCAAATGGAGCAGACTCAACAGAGCCATCTAATAGCAGGATCTGTAGAATGGGTGGCTGCTCATATCAGCACCTTCTACACCCGTTGTCGATGTTTTTTCAAAACACACACACACACACACACACACACACACACACACACACACACACACATAGATGAAACTAAACTGCACAACCGACCAAGTTGTGAACTCAGAACCAAGGAACTGATTTTTCCCCCAACAGATCACAGATGTGGCTCGTCCTGTATGGGAATGTGAAGCTGGGACCTGCAACTGGAACCTGCAGCTGGAACTTGAAGTTGCACTCGCAAAAAAACTGCAAGTGCCAAGTGATGTACTGGTGGCCTCACTGGCTTGGTTTCCTCAATGTCCTGGCACATACGATTTCCGACGCCCTGCTGATCGTCCGCACTGACGCATTCGTTATTAAATGCTCTTGAGGATCCAGCATAAACCACGCAGTGGTCAACAGACTTGAAACGAAAACAAGGATGCCCACTGTTTTTCTTCTTTTTTGCAACTGGGCGGTACGTTTGGGGGAAGAACGTAGCTCTACACGTATCTCTCAGTATTCTCTCCCTGGGGGGTTATATGCCTGTTGAACACGCTGGCATGGTACCCGTGCTTGATCTGTTGCGAGGATGTACACTGGTTTGAAGATGAGCACAGGGCAAGCAAGAATGAGCAAAGTAGAGCAGGGAACAAGGAGGCGAAAAACAGAATTGTAGAGCACATCCATTTTTCCAGACACTAGTCTGGAGGTGTTCATCGAACAGGGATGAGCAAAATAGGGGCAGAGTTACAAAAGAAGGCCAAATAGAATCTGGTAAGCGCATCCTTTCTCTTCTGTGTGGATGTTGTTCCAATATCCATGCCAATGTTTGCACTGATGTTGATGCAGCAGAGCATGAAGGGTGTGACCAGCTCTCAGGGGTGACCTCCAGTAAAGAACTGATGCACTGGAGCTGCTTGCATGACAAGGCAGACATATCGATGCCCATGAATGCGCCACCATCTTCACCCGAAGAGAACGGCCGGTCATGATAGCCGTATTTTCAGTATATGTACAGTCTGACGATACAACGGTGATGACCAGGCATTCTATTGGGTGAAGAGAGTAGCCTTAGCACAGAGGAGAATAGATTGTCTGGCCAGCCCTCAGGGGTGGCGGCAACTGGACTGTAATTTCACTCACATAAGCACTTCCTTCAATGGATGGAGTTCCAACTTAGTGGGTCTGTCTGTTACCTAAGGACCTTACCACGCTAATCCCATCGGACATGGAAAGTGGTGAGGCCATCGTCGCGTAGAAGGGGTGAACAGTTAGATACAGCACTCTGAATAGCGGGGCTGTATCTTGTCACCTTCTGTGTGAAGATGCACTAATTTTTTCAGGTTTCGTGCATAGTCCAGCCCAACCCTAAGTGTATTGCACTGGCCTTTGGAAGGAACAGCCAAACACTGCAGATAAGCCCAACCTGCCAGATCATATCAATATGTTATCATCCTTCTGTTGTTGTGAAGGGGTTTTTTAACGTTTTTCTGTCCGTTTAGCATTTGAGGGCTCCGCCATTTCTTTTCCTTTTTAAGAAGCTACTTTATATTCCACGACACCATCCCAGGGTGGATAAGAGCCAGCAAAAAGTATTTGGCCCAGTATTGGAAAGTGCACTATCTTTTTGTTATTGTTCTCAGGCTAGTTGGTTTTCTCTAGACCTGACAATCTAGTTAAGGTGCAAGGACCAGTCCAATTTGGCACACTGATCCGGACCCCTCATTTCACCCGCGACATTTCGTTTCCCGCGCATAGTTTTTTTTTCTTGGCCTCTTAAACCACCAGTGCTTCCTAAAATTGTGCCTGTTAACAAGCCAGAATTTTAGGAATCGTACAGGCCACTACAGGAGCGCCCAAATTCATCCAACTAGAAACGTTTCTACTCTATTTTTGTCCATGGCCGATAGCCGGGCCAAGTACTGGTGGTTAAAGGGTTTGTTGAAATACAAGTGCATAGCAGGTGGACAGAAAGACACATGAACCAAGGAACAAGATTAAGCTCGCGGTGCATCTGTTCATGTTGCACTGGAAGAGTCGTTCCCATTTTGCGCCTTTGGTGAGCGGTGTCGCGAGGCCCCAGACACACAACCGGTTTAAGGGCCACTTCTGGTTTTTGTTTTTCGTGGTGGTGCGTCTGTCCATGTTGCAACGGAAGATTCGTTCTCAGTTTGCAGATTTGGTGAGTGGTGGAGTGAGGCCCCAATTGTTTTTTTTTGTTTTTTTTTAAGAACGACTTCTGTTTTCTTTTTCTTTTTTGAAATGGGCCACTTCTCGATCTATGTGCATCATCCTTGTGCGGGGCCCATAACTGATTTTCTTGAAGGGGAGGCAAACGTTTTGAACATGGCCATGAGCTCAAACACTGTACAAGCTTGAAGCTGAGGGAATATACCATCGCACGTTGTTTTGTTTTGCTTTGGTGCATTGTTGGCAACCACACCCGGGACTGGAATCCGCGTGGAAGACGCCCTTCAGGGGTTGAATACAAGCGTGTAATGGGTTAAGTTGACATAAATTTGGATGGAAACACATGCACACAAGACAAAAATTACATTAACTACAGCATGCACCTTTCCATGTTGTAGCGGAAGATTCATTCCTGAGTCAAGGTATAGCATCGTCCAAAAGGTTAAAATGACCTTAGTTGAATTCCAAGTGGTCTCTCTAGCAACAATTAACCCCAGTACTTCCGACGCACTTTTCTCCGATGATGGGAATGTCGTGCATGCCAAAGAAAGACAAATTGGTGCAACTTTCTTTTGGATCGCGCCCCAGCCATTGTGCTTTGGTACCCGAGCCCCAAAAACGCATCGCGCTTACACCCCGGACGAAAGCTGAATAGCGGTGCCAAGTAATGGTGGCTTAATGAGTCTACCCTTCATCCACGTTGGTTTGGCATTTTTTGTTTTGTTTGTGTTTATTTCTTTCCCTGGGTTGCACCGGCCCGGCCCACATGGTGTGATCCATGTAATAAGCAACTACTATGATGAAAACTTGAACTTTCAAACTAGAAGATCGGTCGTGTAGAAGTATGCAATTTTTTCATTTCACGATACGTAAATTTGCTACGTTGGCATTAGGTTTGATTTTGTTTAGACCCAAGCAGAAAACTCGTACTTTTCAGTTTTCTTTTCATATTATAGAGAGGAATGAGCAAAAAGCATGTTTTTCCACTTTTATGTGGCATTATCAAAGTGATCGCATGTATGATGATGTAACCACTAGGTTTTTTGTTTAGGAGTCTAAAACTGTTGCAACTACGTCAAAGAACAATCTTTCTATGTTATTATGTTTCTCAACTGAAGAGAGCAGTCTACAAGTAAATATGTCAGTCAATCAATTAAACACATTAATAATATGCACGTTTCTTTCTATTCATGAAGGTAAATATTCTTAGAAGCAGATTACTTGTTCGAATATTCGACGGTCCAGCCGAACGACCCCGACCAATATAAATTGGGGGACATCGTGCAGGTGGGGAAATATGCTGATCAAGGTAAGATTGTGCCACGATTCTTTGCTAGGTGTAGTGTGATCGAGTTTGGTCCAAACGGCGTTAACACAGTGCGCCTCTCCCTTGATGTCTTTGGGAGTCGATCAGCTCGCCCCGAACATCCGCCATGTTTTGTATCTTCGTCCTCTACCCTCTACCTCCTCTAGATCTCAGTTTAGCCCTCTCCTTCAATGAGAGCAGTGATCAATTTGATTCTCCCATCTCTCCAATCTTTTCTAATCTCTCTTTTGTACCTCTCTCCCCTACGCCATTGCCATGAGCTTTGTCACCGAGCACATCGTACACGCGTGGTTCATGCAGCCCAGGAGGGGATACATTTTCCGGCAAGTCCGACATCCGTGCATCACTCCTGATCTCCTTCGTCTCGGGCAATTCGTTAGCAGTCAGGAATTCTACACAGCTATTGAGATCCATGCAACTGCAGGTTTAGGTGGTTCCACCATCTTGGCGGAGATTTCGGTGTCCTTACGATTATCGGTTTGTGGTAACAGTAACGGTATGGCCATCGTTGTCTTCTCCAGTTATCTCCTATAACTTGCTTCGTTCGCCCGACAAATGTGGGCAACTA